GAAAAGAGCAGCAAAGATAACGGATCGAGGCGCACAAGCACAGGCACAGGCAAACGAAACCACAAGGCAAACAATTCCCCACAACTAGGCAAATACAAAACAAAACAAAAACACATTCATTAAATCATGGGCAGGAAAGTCTTTGATTGTGTTCCATTGTCGTCCCCATGTGTAAGAGCACACTCTCCTTCGTCGATTGCGACCAAAGGGCGGGTGTCGTAGTTGTAGCCAAAGTAAAAAAACAACGCAAGCGAAGAAACAAGAAATCAAAATAGGGCTTGAGGAATTACCGGAAAGCACACGAGTAAGAGTGTAAACTTTGGCACTCATTCACATGATTTCCCCCTCTCCATTTACGCTCGAAGTATAAAAGAACACGACAAGTAAAAAGAGAAGCGACTCGGACTCCAGTACATCCGTCCATCGTTTTACATCCGTCTGGCCGAACCACCGGGCGGAATATGAAGAAANACTCGGACTCCAGTACATCCGTCCATCGTTTTACATCCGTCTGGCCGAACCACCGGGCGGAATATGAAGAAACATTAGTTCACTCATCAGAGAAACACAAACAACCGTTTTCGTTCTGTCTTCCTCTTTTGTATTCTTTCATGCTCAATTGCACGATATAATCCATATAACACTCACATCCCCGCCCACTGTCCCATCTGTCATCCGGACTGACAGACTCATTGCCATATTGATGCCCTGTGGAGCACCACACAGGAAAGCGAATTTGCTCGCGCGAACAGTCAACCCATCAAACAAGTCAAAGATAAAAATAAGGTATGGGTGAAAATAAAAATACAAAGAGGTAGGAGAACAACAGAAAACAAAATAAGTCAAAAAAAAAACGATTTGAATTGGAACCTGTGTCATGTCGCTACACCATATATTGTGGAAATCGTTCCGAAGCATATGACAATAACACCGCATATGAGGAGGAAGTACGTGCCTGCGTACATCCAGAATCCAACCTTCTGCCGTGTGAAGTCACCAGCATACATGTAGAAGAGCGCTGGGAAGACAAACGCGATGAATCCGCCGGTGAGCGAGCCAAGCAGCCCAAACACAACGCTCACGTTGGGGATGAAAAGGCCCGCGATAAGCGCAATACAGCTCACGAATGTACACAGAACCGCGTTCTTCCACCAAGCAACGGTATCCAACGACCAGTGCAGGAGGTGATGCAGCGAATCACGACAAGGGAGAATGTGCAGTGCAAATGCCACACACAGTTTTACAACGATGCCACAGTACGCAATGGCCATCATGACATCGTGCAGTGGGCGGTACATCTTCAGCACCGAGGACTCCACCTCCGGACCAAACTCGAGGTAAGCAAAGAACCCGGCAAGCCAGTACAGAATGGTAGAAAGAAGCATGCTGACTGCTGCTTGACGCGTCATGCGGCCCACAGATTGCCGGGGCTTCATCTCATTCCATACTTCAAACATGTTGCTTTGGCAAAGGTATGCAAACATAAACATGCCAAGGCCCCGAATACCTTCATTCCCTTTCCGGGCCAGAACAAGATCATCCCGCACCCCATCCTCGAGGCCGTGCAGGGCACAGTGAATGACGATGGTTATGACGAAGTACACAATAAAGGTGACACCACATAGTGAAACGTATCGCAGCGAATTGATGCGCTTCGGAAGGGACAGTGGCAGCATGAATAGGAAGAAAATGATGCATGTGACAACACGGTTCCAGCTCAATGTGGCCCAATATCCAGTCACGGAGTCATCTTTCAGAAAAGCGGACACAAGGTCACTAGCTGATATCACGTATGCAATGCAGGCACCGAAGCACTTCACAAACATAACAATGGCCGTGAAGATGTCACCACCACGCCCAAACAAGGACCG